TCAACTCCCAGGCGTGCCCTGGGGAAATATCTGTGCCACATGTTTACAAAGGAAACTGCACGCACAGGTCATCTGCTCAGCCATGAGCTGCCTCCATTGTTTTGAATTTCACAAGCGCATTATTTTTGCCTGCATTTGTGCCTCCCAGTGGTGTAGCATATCTGATTTTTTTTGCTATTTTCTCAATTTAACTCGGTCATATGCCTGGATGACCAGATTTTATCATTTTCAGTGGCTAAAAACACGCCCCGGATTCGCCATTGACGTGTGAAGGACAGCACAGGGTCATTTTGTCACCGCTGTCTGCGTGCATCATCTCATTAAACCCATATCTGGTTTTTTTTTACTACGTAAGCTCCCTTACTTGCCACCACCTGCCCTTTTCCATCATGGCTGATGCAGCTTTTTTGACTTTATATCCCACGCTGCAGGAGCGGCCCACAGGGGAATCCGACTTCCAGCAGAAACCGCGAAAGGTAAACAGGGCTCTTGCTCCTTCAGCCCTGTGTTGTTGCTGCTTTGTCAGTCATCAGAGCGTCGTCACATGCCCTGGTCACCTCTGTCATTCTGCTTGCCCTCATTGGTTGATGCAAGCCATGTTATCGGCTGATACACATTCCTAGTAGTATCTGAGCAAAGAGAATCCTGCCAGTTTCCCGTGGGACTTTGGACAACAGCCACACCACATGTTTAACAAATTTGATGATGTGAAATTTATCTTTTGTTTCATGCTCTGTTTCTTATCTTAATTCCTCACGGGCTTTCTCATAGTGTACTGCCTCAGTTTTACACCATCAGAAAAAAAGTTCTGTCTGTTCATTTGTATATGTGTGTATTTGTAAGATATAATATCTATACTAGTGTTTTTTTTACAATCCTTAAAAAATCACAGTTTTACTTTCTACGAGTCGGATGCTGGCATCACCTTGTTTGACCTCTAACCCTTCAGTTCCATGGGCAAGGACAACTACAGCATGTCTAGCACACCTGCGAGTCATGTTTTTATTGCAGGTTTCACATGTCGACCGGGAGGGGGCGCTGATACCCTGAGGGGGTTGATTTAGGGCTTGTGTCTGATCAGGAAGTGCAGTCAATCCTTTGCTGTACATTGTGTGTGTGTGTGTGTGTTTGTGTGTCTGTTTTGCCATGTTGTGAAACCCCCTTTGCATCTGTTATGATTTTGCTCATTATTCCATCGTTTTGTCTTTATGTTGACACATGTCGCCATTTTCTTTCTGTCTGTGCCGTCTGTGTCTTGTAGTTTGAGAAAACGAGGTCCGCCTCTCCCGTCAAGTGCTGCCACTTTGCTCCTTGGAGTAGAAAGGTATTTACTACCCCCCCCCCCTCCCATCTTCCTCTGATGTGATTGGTCCCCTTCTGCCCTCACCTGGCTAATAACTAATGTCTGCTTGTCACTGTGATGTTTTTACCCACCAATAACCTCGTCACTCTCAGTGAACATCCAGTGTTTCCGATCTCTCTCTCCCTCTCTCTCTCTCTCCCTCCCTCTCTCTCTCCCTCTCTCACCCCTTAGGCACTGGTCTATTGCTCATATAACAATAAGTGAATAGGACAAGGTCGAAAGGCTTAAAGGGACATGATTGTTCCCGCCATAAGTTTGGAGCATATACATGTTCCCCTTGTGTTCCAAGTGTTTTCAAAGTGCCTCTAAGTTGCATGTGCAAGTGGAGGTGTATGAATGAGTGACCCCTAGTGGACGGCTGCATTATTTCAGGTGGCCCTCAGGACCGACGGTGCACTTTGTGCAGTTTTGAAGTACACTTACTACCCAGTGCTGTTTGCAGTGTTAGGACAGCAAAGAAGAACATGGAGTGGATTTCAAAGTCCACCAATTAATTGTATTTCTGTTCATTCTTCCCCCTGAGCAGTTCATAGTTGTTTGAAAGTGCACTGTATGCGGTTTTAATCACTTGAATGCCTCTTGGAAAAATCTCAGCCAGTAAAATTCACTCCCTTCAGTTTGACACTTTCCTTTGAATGTTCAATCGTTCATTCATACTGCAGTGCTAAATGGAGTATTTGGTCACATTCCTTCTCCACTGTCGGGCAGCGTGAAGGCGGCAGCTTTGAGGCGCCTTTCTCAGGCTCAGGTTTGGGTCTGGGTGGTTCTGGTGAGGTGTCCACCTGTGCCGACGTTCCTGCCGGCTGGCCAGGGCGGTCGTGGTCCCCTCAGCTGTCACTTGCTCCATGAATGACATTCTGTAAGAGCCTGATCTGGCTTCCTCTTTTTCAAATGAAGATGGTCTCTGGCTAGAACCCAAAGTCCCAGCTTTGCTTTTTCACATCGCTCTGCCCCCCCCCTCCCTCCCTCCCTCCCTTCCTTGCTCCCTCTCTCACTCCCTCTCTCCCTCCACCACAGTGCCATTATTATTCTCGAGGTGGATCAGCTGGAAATGCACTCCCTCTCATTTTGTTTCGCCGCCGCGTCAATAAAACTTGGACGTTTCCAAGGAAACCGAGGGCTTTTGTGGCCGGAGCTTTGTGAGGACCTCGCTCGTCCACTGGGGGAAGCGGCGCACAAAAGCCTTTAGGGCCCGTCCTAAATTAGAGGCCACGCGAAGTTGGGGAAGGCGAGGACGCGATCGCCTTCTGCGTTAGCGTTAGCAGCAGCGCACATGCACTCGCTTGCACACGTGAGGAGGTAAGCATGCGGTTCGCTCTCGCAGCGGAGTGGGTGGGGGGGCGGATTCCCAACGTGGATCTGTTGGTGGTGCTCTGTCTTGTCAGAGGTGGATTGGTAAGAGCCCCATTTACAGATAACCTATGAGAACAGGCTAAGAATCCAGCCTTCTTAGACCTGCTAGCTTAACAGAGTCAGGATTTCTGTGATTTCCCCTGATACAAAAGTGCCGGTGAGTCTGTTACTCCAGAAAAAAGTTTGAACATTTAATAGCTGAACTGATAACAATCGAGGGCTGATTTGCAACTGAGGGCTGATGGTGACTGAGCATTTATAGCAACCGAGGGCTGAGTGCAATTGAAGGCTGATTGTGATTGAGGGGTGATTGTGATTCAGAGCTGATAGCGACTGAGGGTTAACTGTGATTGAGGGCTGATAGCGATTGAGGGCTGTTAGTGACTGAGGGCTGACTGTGATTGAGGGCTGTTAGCTAGAGTGACCGGCATGTGGATTCACTGCAATAAGCCCCTGCTGTGGACCCGTCACGTCCTGCATGCTAAAAACCGCAGCCTTCATATTTGTTATGGCTCTGTGAGGTAATCCAGCTGTGTATAAGGAAGGCTGCCACTCATCCCATCACGTGTTCTTGTTCATCCCTGTTGATTTCCTGAGGAGGCAAGAGTGTCAGATTTTCTGTTTCCAGCCCCCCACCACGTGTTACGGTTCCCACGTTACACAACAGGGGCTGCAGGTCCTGGCCACCATCAGCCGGAGCCATGTTAAGGTTCCCACATTTCACAGCGGGGGCTGCAGATCCTGGCCACCATCAGCCAGAGCCGTGTTAAGGTTCCCACATTTCACAGCGGGGGCTGCAGATCCTGGCCACCATCAGCCGGAGCCGTGTTAAGGTTCCCACGTTTCACAGCGGGGGCTGCAGATCCTGGCCACCATCAGCCGGAGCCGTGTTAAGGTTCCCACGTTTCACAGCGGGGGCTGCAGATCCTGGCCACCATCAGCCATTTATGTGATAAAATTTGTTCCTTAGAACCTTCCAGACTCTACACGGGCAGTAGATAAAGGACTGAGGTGCTCTAACTCTTCTTCCATATGCTTTTCTCCTCATTTTCTCCACTGACCCTTTTTGTCTTTCCTAGCTCTTGGATTTTCCCTCTTTCCTCTCTCCTGGTTGTCATGTGATCCGATTGCAGGTTTCTGGTTCAGTCTCTCCACTTAGATCAGCTGGGATGGTGCTGCAGCTTGCAGCCCCAACCGCTTTTCTTGTCTCTAAGGCGAAGCTGCCGGGGGACTCGACTTTCAGTCTGATCACTCAAATGCTTTGCTGATTGGTCCATCAATGTGTCATGTGACTGTGGGTGGGAGGTGCTTACACGGGACTTAACAGCTTTAACATTTAACTCGCTGGCTGTAGTTGCATGCAAACCATCACCTCCACTCTCACCCCTCCCCCGTTCTGAGCCCCAGTAACTCTAATAACACCATTAACCGGATTAACTGAGCAGCATTCATGTGGATCTCTTCCAGGCCCCAAATCCTTCAGACCCCGACATGGACGTGGTGGCCCTGGGTCACAGGCCCAGATGCCCCGTGCCTAACATTCCCTCCACCCTGGACAAGCAGACTAACTGGTCCAAAGTGTTGCCCCTCCCCACTCCGGAGGAAAGGATGAAAGCCGACTCCCAAGTGGTCTCCTCATGCATTATCCCCATTAACGTCACCGGTAAATTAGTGCCCGGCCAAGTCCGTGTCGTCCTCTGCCTGTCTGTCCAACTTTGTCCACGGGAGAACTCTGGTCAAAAGGTCAGGATCGAGTCTTCATGAAGGATGTGCGTAATTCTGATGTTCTAGACAAGAGGAGCTTCACTTTCATGGTGTGCTTAGGAAGTGCCGTTGCTTCACGTATATCACACATTCCAGCGCTCGCCTTGGACATATCAACATACCGGTCAGTGTCCCAGCTGAGATTTGGGTTTAGGATAAATCCTGGCTGATTACAGCATTCTGAACCATGAGCTTTGGCCAGAGTTTTCTTGTCACATGTTGGCTGCCTTGTGAACCGCCTCTAGAGTTTTCTACTGCCTTTTATCCAGTAATTTCCGTACTGCTCAGAAAGACACTCTCTCTTTTCTAAGCGCACATCTCACCTGCTCCATGGAGTTTGTGCAGTTGTTTTTAGTGAGGATGATGATTTTCCACAGAGTTATATCTTGCTTAAAACCCCCCCAACAGAACCCACCTGACTTCATTGAAGTTTCTAACCAGTCACAGGCTAACACCAGACAGCGCTGATTTCCTGCTTTGTTACTCAGCTGGTCAGGGAGCATTAGTCCGTCAGACACACCTTCTCCGCTGTACTTAGGCAGTACTGTTTGCGTTGGTTCAGTTCAATTTCACAGTAGGGGGGTGGTTGTCCGCCTACTAAAAATGTGCAAGTCATTGTATATGGAGCACCCCCACCCCACCCCCCTTCATCAGAGATGGTTCTGTCCGTGCCAGGGACTGAGAACCAGAGAGCCGACGCTATGTGCATGCCAATTAGTTTCATTAGAATTATAAAAGGGCCCAAAATTTATTTACCCTCAGCTGAGTAGTGGGAGGGGGGCTGACAGTAGTACATGAATGGAAGCTGAGTCAGAGAGAAGAAAAAAACTCACCAGCTGTAAACAAAGTATGGTAAGTGCCCCCATTGTGAAAAGCCTGGTTTGTTACCACATGACAGTCAGGGAGTGTATGTGTGTGTGTGTGTGTGTGTGTGTGGGAGTGGGAGTGGGACAAAAAAACCACAACTCAAAAACACATCACTGCAGAGTGAGCAGTCAGAGCAGGACGTGGCCTGGTCCACTGGCAGGTAGGGTTACACTCGCTTTCCACTCCGTCACTCACCCACCTGGCCGACCGCAGACTGTGATGGGTTGCTATCAGCTTGCTTAGCTACACAACTAGACATAGTCATAGTTATAGTCTAGTAGGTATTGGTATCGCTGTCTCGAGATTGTGGAGCAGGTCAAAACCATATTCCTAGCGTTTGTGTTAAACAGTAAGGGACTCTCCCTCCTTACAATTAATTCATTTAATCCTCTCATAAAGCAAATGCAGGGAAAGTAGTGAATTAATGAATGCCATTGCTAATTTCATTACTGAGGCACCAGCCTATGTTGTAAGATCTTGTAAAATATCCAGGGAAGGACAAACAACATCGGCACTTCTGAGGCAAAGTGCTGGGGGGAATGAAGTGTGTCGTAATGGTGCGGCTTTCCGAGTGGGATGAGCGTTGCGGTGGGGGGGGGGGTGCATAGTGCAGGTGTGCTGGGGTCTCTGACATGCCGTCTGCCTCCCAGGAGTGGGCTTTGACAGAGAGGCCAGCACCCGCTGCTCGCTGGTGCACTCCCAGTCGGTGCTGCAACGCCGGCGTAAACTCCGCAGGAGGAAGACCATCTCGGGCATTCCCAAACGGGTGCAGCAGGATCTAGGTACGCCTCCCTGCCGCTCACAGCCCCACGTCCAGGTGGTGATTCAGTGGTGCCGTGGCATGACATCAGCTAGTAATTATGGTGACAAATCGTCTGGGAGCGATGCGCCCATGTGTCACTCTTTGTGTTTGTTTTCCTAGAAGTGTCTGATCTTGTACGTTAATATCATGTTAGACATACTGAGCACTGTCCTCAGTGTTTTGTTGATATGTGGTATACCATATATAAGATATGACTAGGAAAGATGCAAAAGTGGCAAACAATGATTCATAAAGAGATTTAACTGTGTTCCTCCTTTATCCCTCAGACTCAGACGAATCTCCAGTGGCCAGAGAGCGGACTGTGATCGTACACGCCAACCCCAGCTTCTCCCTGGGCCACAGAGAGCTGTCCCTGAGCGGTCGTCTTAACACCAGGGACTCGGGGTGCCAGACCGAGGATTTCCTAATAGCGGCACCCTCGCGAAGGCGGATTCGTGCCCAGAGGGGTCAGGGTGTCCCAGCGACACTCTCGCACTCCACTGGCAACATAACCTCGCTGCCAGACAGCTCCGACGCCATGTTCGCGGCTGCCGCCAGCACCCGCCTGCGCTCCCGCAGCTTGCCCCGAGAAGGTGGGCGGCTTGCAGACGAGGGCCACGAAGACAGCGATGACGAAGGGCTTTCCCCGTATGAGGCAGAGGAGTTCCAGCCAGGACTAGTGGAGCGGGTTCTAAAGGATGAGGAGGAGAGCACTGATGATCAGGCCGTGCCTGAACACCAGCTGGTAACACTCACCTGTAAGCCATGCTCGGGGAGTCCAGAGCACACTTGGATTGAGCGGGGGAGGTCCCGGCTCCCACGGAAAATCGACATGGGAAGCTGTGAGATTTCCTCCAGCTCTGACACCTTCAGCAGCCCCATCCACTCCGTCTCAACTGCAGGAGTGCTGGGCAGCCAGATGGACCACAAGGAAGACCACCAGTCCTCCAGTGGCAACTGGAGTGGCAGCAGCTCCACATGTCCTTCCCAGACATCAGAGACCATCCCCCCTGCGGCATCACCACCCCTAACTGGATCTTCACACTGTGACTCGGAGCTGTCGCTCAACGCAGCTATCCATACCCACGACGACTCCGCGGGCTTCACGATTGACCCCTACCCACCCGACACGGCACAGATACGAGGCCACCGGGCCAGCTCTTTCACCTCCACTGCGACAGACCTCCTGGACGACCCCGGCATGAGCGCCACAAATGATGGCGAGTGGAACTATATGCACCATCAGCACAACGTGTCCTGCCACCAGGACTTCAGTCCTCCGCGTTCCAAGGAACATGCAGGAGGCCTAGAGTGTCCCAGTTTCACAAGTGTGGCCACCTACGACAGCTTCATGGACAAACCACCGTCTGAAAAGGCAGACTCCAGCTCACACTATTCTGTAGACACAGAAGGATATTATACCTCCATGCACTTTGACTGTGGTCTTAAAGGTAGCAGAAGCTACGTTCAAAACTATGCAGCCTTGAGCTCTGACAGTGGCCAGAGCGTGAACGTTGCACCTAGCATGGGAAAATACAGTCAGCTGGACTACTGTGGTACCAGAACGCTGGGAAGGCGCTGCCTGTCCCTAAAAAAACCAAAGGTGAAGCCAGCCCCACCAAAACGTAGCTCGTCGTTGAAGAAATCAAGCAGTGGTGAAAACGCTCCTGGGGAGAATGAACCAAAGATAAGCAGCGGGCGGCACCTGCAACTGTCTTCCAGGGAGATGAAGCTGCAGCTGGACTTGGCAAAGTCCTCGGGTCAGCTCGGCATAGACGAGGAACCAGGGGAGACATGGGGCATGGCGAATGCTGCCGAGATGACCGACTCCACCTTGTTTGGTCCCACAGATACACACTCCTTTAAGGACGAAGGTGCAGTCCAGTCTGACTATGCAGATCTCTGGCTCCTCAGTGGGTTGAAGTCTAATGATCCCTACCGATCGTTGTCCAACTCCAGCACTGCTACGGGTACGACTGTCATTGAGTGCATTAAGTCACCTGAGAGCTCGGAATCGCAGAATTCCCAGTCTGAATCAAGGGCCACAACACCTTCGCTTCCTTCTGTAGAAAACGAGTTCAAGCTTGCCTCTCCTGAGAAGCTAGCTGGCTTGGCATCACCCTCCAGTGGGTACTCCAGCCAATCGGAGACACCAACATCTTCCTTCCCCTCTGCATTCTTCCCCGGACCCTTGTCCCCTACCAGTGGCAAAAGAAAGCCCAAAGTCCCGGAGAGAAAGTCCTCCCTCTCATCTGTGCAGCAACAATTGTCCTCCAGAGATGGAAGCACCTTCTCCAAAAGAGACCTTGAGCTGCCGATCATACCTCCAACTCATCTTGACCTAAGTGCTCTTCACGTTCTTAACAAGCCTTCAGCCCACAGAAACCAGATCCATGCTCTCCACCAGAGCAAACAGAAAGTAGCTGCAGCAGAAGCTAGGACACCTACAGCAGGAGCAACCAAGTCGGAAGTGCCTGGACCGGTTCCCATGGCTATAACCCCCTCTGTGCTCCGTTCAGTCCAGCTGCGTTCTATCAATAGACCAACTGAAGGAGGCCAGAAGCAGCCCAGTGCTGAGGCCTCTCCCAGGTTGATGTGTCCCACTGTTACAATCGTCAGCCCACCTTCCAGCAGCCTGTCACTGGAGTCTAACAAGTTCACAACCCATCACCCCCACGAGCCCCCATCTCAGGAGTACTGCGAAACACTGTCTACCCAGGGTGACAGGCCGCTGTTGAAAGATGTAGCATATCATGAAGACATGACAAACAAGCAGGAGAGGTGCGGCCCACAGCCCTTCTGGGCTATGACAGCATTCAGAACCCCTTTGGAGCCAATGCACAAAGAGCTGGACCATTCAGAACCATCCCACCTCGAAAATACCCCCATGAAAACGGCTTCTGAAAATACGTCACACCCTACGGAGAAGAAGGAAGACGTGGAGGAAACCACAAGGGGTCTATCTCATAGCAACAGCCTGGAGATGGATCCAAATGTGCCAACAGAACCCGAGCAGGCATCTGAAGCCCCCTTCCTGTGTCTGGCTAAAACAGGTTCTCCCCCTGCCCTACACAACATAGCAAAGGTGTCCGAGAGTAGCCCGTGCGGCAGCCCCGACAAAGTGCCTGTAATTCCTTGTCAATCACATACACCGCAAGCTTACACAATCAGCGATACGAGTAGCAAAGAGGAGCAATGCGAGACATCAGGAGTTTCTACCGGAAGTGCCTCACAGGATAGCAGGGAACAGGAGACGACACCAGACACTGAGGATTACTTCAGTAAAGGTGAACTTTAACTTTCTTCTAGCTTCATACCCAACTTAAAACATTACATGTTTTTGAAGATTATAAAATAATGGTAGATGAATTAAACATTGTGCTGGTCAATCCCATCCAGAGTATCCTGGAATCCAGTGCTTCCTAGGATAAGTTCCAGGCTCAGTGCAACCCTAGATTAGATAATCTTATGGGACATGGATGGGTGAGATGGTTTCAATTCAATCCTGAGACAATAGGATTGAACCTTGTGTTTTGTTTTTAATAACATATTGATCAAGTTTCACTAGCAAGTGGCCAGCATTTGAAACATTTATGTGTAATAAATGTAACGAGTGCTGTTTCTGGACCTATGCTGAGGAGATAGGTGGTGTGATGTCATGTGGAGGAACCTTCCCCTTTTTTCCAGAATCTACACCCAGTGACAGCTCAGTGTCCCCTTTGTATGAAGAGACAAAGGCGGAGGACGACAGTGTTTTCCTGTCGCCTACAAAAGCACGCACAACTGAAGATCTCTTTGCCATGATCCACAGGTGTGTTTTACCCCTTGAAAGCGTCCATCATTTTATCCTGTACAGGGGACAGGGCCTTTTTAATAAAGCATCTTAAAGAAACTATGACTTACTAATACTCTGTCATCACAGATCCAAGAGGAAAGTGCTGGGAAGGAAGGACTCGGGGGAACCGACTGTGAAGAATCGCCTGAACACAACACCAGGAACCACAACGCCAGGAACCACAACACCAGGAACCAGCCCTGCAGGTACACCAGTGACATCGCCAGGCACGCCCGTCACACCGGGCACCCCAACCAGCTCCCAGCGACCCCCAGGGCCCATTTACAGGTGTGCCAAGAAATCCAACACCTCCAATGAGGAATTCAAGCTCCTTTTGTTGAAGAAGGGCAGCCGTACCGACTCCAGCTACCGCATGTCGGCCACAGAGATCTTGAAGAGTCCAGTGACGCCCAGGTTCTTGGGCGAGCTATCTGGTGAGCTCGAGGAGCTGTCATCCCCTCTGCAGCAGTCCCCATCAAGTGCCGAACACCACCCTTCCAGCCCATTCCCCCGGGCCAATACGGAGGGCTTCTCTCCGAAGGCCTTCCCCATGTCCGCCTCCTCCCGCCAGGGCCGCTCCAGGATCCCGCCTCCGGCCAACAGCAGCCGCTACAGCGCACGTAGCCGGCTCTACACGGCACCGATGCAGGCCATCTCTGAAGGTGAGACAGAGAACTCGGACGGCAGCCCACACGATGATCGCTCCTCCACCTGAAGAAATGTGCTCAGTCATCATCCTCCACAAGTACTGGACCCACTCAGAAAATGCCCATGGCTTTAAAGGAGGGGCATCAGTTGGCCTGTGAGGACCTATTTTTAATATTATAAGTGATTAAAAACAGGAAAACAAGAAAAAAAAAGAATAAAGGCCAGTGTACACTTTTATTTGGAACTTGACGATTGAGCAAACCGCTGAACCACAAGAAAGAGTGGAGGAGAAGTAAAATAACCTTAATGTATTTGTTCTAGAAACTGCCATTTCTGTTTGTCATTCACAGATGTTTTCTATGACTTTTGTCTTTTTTTTTGGGGGGGGGGGATGAAAAAATTACCCATCCCCGTGTTCTAATATTTTGACCATGAAGCAAGTACATCAAAAGAGTTTTAAAGGCGCTGGAGGTGGAATGCTGTCAAATAAATGCGAATGAATACGCCAGTCCTGGGCATTTCAGGACGGCCCTGGGGTCTTTGGGGCTGGGGGGGGCGGAGGCGATGATGAGATTACTGAGAGAGAAACTCATGCTGTAGCTTTTCCACAAGACGCACAACCATCGTACACATAGATTAAAGACAAAAAGGTGCAGCCAGTACTGGAGCTCAGAAGGAAATGTTGAACTTTATATACTATCCTGCCTTTGACAGGTGGACTTGGGACAATCAAACTATGGCCTTTGTGTAAGGGAGGTCTTAACATACAGGGGATTTAATATTCTAAACACACACAGATACTGCAAATGATAGATATTACTCCTTTACAGTTGTCTGTAATTCAAGGGTAGGTTTTTAGACCTACAGATTTCTTGCACTTAAACTACAAGATATGAATTCTATCGTGTACACGTAGTGAATATGAATACATATGTATGGATAGATGAGTGTGACTTTTAGGTATCACAAGCTCAAAAGATAGTGGTGACGGGGCACAAGATAATAAGGCCTAGAGTTGCTTGTCGCACGGCTGCAATATTAAGGTAATTCAGTCATCTTAGTAGCTTGCGGTATTTGCACCATCCACCACCTGAGTTGTGCCACCTTAACAAACACACCGGTCTTCTATTTTAGCAAATGGTTGAGTTCCTGCTGTTTCTTTTACTGTATTAGTGGCTCATGGGCTGAGCTTGTAGCGTTTGGATTCAAGTCAGAACTCAACTTTTCATGAGGGGCCAAAGACAAGCCACCTGATTTAATAAGTAAGGATGATCAAACTAACAGGAAACTGTTGTATTAAAAAAAAAAAACAATAAAAAAAAAAACCCAGTGTATTCTATGAATACCTTCAGAGACCTTGGTGGAATAGATTTATGAATGAAAGGGGAGATTTTTGAGCTGATTTGCAAAACTGACACTGTGCTAGAAGTGAGGGGAAAGCTGTGAAGCGGGATGATGTCGCCGTATGAGTCTGTGGTTGGCTGGCGCTGCGGTCTGCAGCACATGCCTGTTTCATGTCACGAGCCCTTACGTCATCAGCATGCAATAAAAAAACCGTCGAGCTTTGAAAAGGAGTTAAGAGATACTACTGTATGAAAGGATATCAGATTTTCAAACTTGATTTTTTTATCACTATGTTCAATAGCTGTACAAAAACATTAATTTTCTCGGATAAGTGTAAAGAGTGGGATTGTCTGTTTTGTGAATTATCTGGACATATATGAAACTTTTATGGGAGCAGAGCATTAGCAGGCGATTGTGAAAAGGTACAAATTAAGTTTACGATAATGGTTAGAGCCAAGTCTGGAGCAAGGTTATGGAACGTGGCAGTGTACAGGACAAGAGGAAGGGGAGACACTGGTGGAGATGTGAGTTTTGGGATTTGTGCTGATCTGGTAGTGAGTACGATATGTGCGATGGGACATATGGAAAGTGAGGCAGAAGATGAGATTTTGGTTTGGGGAACTATTCATCTCGAAGCCCTCTACCTATCAGATGCAGGTAGCGCCTGTTCTCAGTTCCGACCGTACAGGTTAGGAACCATGGCTGTTTATATTTTATAGGACTAACCCACCCCGAGCTAGTATATGGAGTCCAGGAAATGTCTTCTAAGTCTTGATTACAGGTTGAAGTAATTTTTATAGGTTGTTCAAAATTGTAGTTGTGTTTTTTTTTTTTTTCCTTCTTTTTGGCGGGGGGAGGGGCAAGGGGTCCATGTGTTCAAAGGCAAATATGCGTATATAAGTATCGAAATATTCAGTACCAGCGAAGCTTAAACAAAGTGACTGAGAATGAAATTGGGATTTCCAGTGTAAGTCGAGATGTCAGCAACTGCGTTTTATATAAAGTTATGCATTTGGTGTTTCATCTAAAATAATGTGATGACTGAATATCAGATTATCTTATTTAACAAATGACTCAAATTAGTTGCAGTTCTTTATATTGTTACTAAAAGGAGAAAAAATATAGACTTAATGTGAATTCACTTTTAAGAATGTAGGTCTGCATTCTGCACACAGCTTTGGGTCGGAAAATCTATAGTCTTTATATGACAATACAGGTTAACAAAGAAGAATATTTTTAAAGATGAGATATTTTATCCAGAGACTTATTTTGTTTATAAATATGATGTAGATGGAAATATGTTAAAGCTTTATTTAATCAGACAGTGGCTTAACGGAGAGATTAAACTGAGCTGCACTGCTCAGAAATGGTGCATATTCACTGTTTAACGCATAAATTGCGGCACACAAAAATGTGGTTCTGTTATGCACAGCGTGCTCCAAATTTGCCACGCCCTATGACCACAGTTTCAGTCTGTTGATGGCTGTCCGCTGGTTGTATTGGGTTTTTCTCACGCTACCACGGATCTAATCTTCTCTGAGCACAGCTAGTGATCCATGTAATTCTTAACAAAAAAAAAAACTATTCTTTCAGATATATATTCACCTGCTCACTAGTGATGTTTTACACTTGCAGTTCCAATGTAGCCATATTTGTCCACAGATGCTATTAAATGGCACCGTTAGTAGCTGCGTCCATTGTAGTATTTCAGCTGTTAGCTTTGTTCAGGCCTTACGTAAAGAAAGATGAGTTGAGATTATTAAAAACGGCAACCGAGAGTGAAGAAATTTTAATCCTGAGGTAAAGAAAGAGAGGCAAAGCTTTTGAATTGGACTTGATAACTGCCAACTTTTAACACGGTACACAAGAGGAAATGATTCTGTGTACACTATTCCAGCTTTTTAAAAATATATATAAAAATTTGCACTGATATATAGTGGTGTTTGTGAAGTTTTCTCTTTCAGTTTTGCTCTTAGCTTATTCAAATAAGATTTCTTTACGACTGTTTTGAGTTCCCATTCAACGATTCTGCGTGGTTCATGAACAAAGTGCACATTGGTGAGAAGCACGGTGATGCTTTTGCCAAAGGATTTAAGAAGTGTTCCAGTGTGAGCAACATTTACAAACGGCAATTGGTTTCTTGTATTAAAAAAGGAAAAAGGATGAACATTCAACAAAAAGAAGGTTACAGTGTAACTGTTTCTGTACAAGATGCATTTCATTCAGGCTGAAAGCTACGAGTTATTGGATTTGCATCAGTTTTGTATTTTTGTACAAATTTGTAAATAGGGATCTTTTTAAATTGTTGCAAAGATGTTTCTTTTGTAAAATCTTTTCAAAGTTTACATTAATTCCAAGCCTTTGTATATTTTTGAGCTGTGCAACACTTTAAGTCTTGTATTTATTTTTTAGTAAACATTGTGAAAATTCCATTGTAAATTTTTTCCCCAACCATCTGCCAGACATCACTGGCCGCTTAGTAATTGTGAATAGAACATGCTAATAAATGTGACTGCATTGAGAAATATCACCGCCTTTACGTTTGCTCATGTCCTACCCTCTGTCAATCTATTCTCCCTGTTCGGTTTGAGTTAAATCATATTAACAGTGTGAAAATTACAGTCATGAGGGATTAAAATGTAGCATCAGTACTCCAAAATTGTATAGGCCTATTATTTTAAGTTTCGATTTTACAATCTAGCCATCCTCAGGTCTTGTCTATTTCAAATGGAGCTGAGATGTATAAACCTACCAGAAACACCAATATTCACAGTTGAAGCTCTCATCCAGGATGTTTTTTAAAAAATGATCAAGGTCAAAGGAATTGTGGAAACCCGTTTGGAGGTGAAACAGGGTCGGTTTGGAGATGTGGGGGGAGGAAAACGGGCGGTGAGAGGCACAGGGGTTGGGTGTTGGCACGGAAACACTGGACAAAACAGGTTTTGAGGTTTCCCGCTTTTATACGCACGGTGGCCAACTTCACTGATTGCACATTCCATCAGTAAGAGCAGAGCGATAACACAGCAGTGCACACAATACTGCAATCCACACAACATAATGGGAGACACATTAAAGTTCAATTGTTGTTGCGCGTCTCACTGGTGCATCTGTGACCAGGACAGCAAGTCATGTTGGTGTCGGTTTCAATGGAACCAGCAGTGCTTAGGCTGGACAGTGTGAAACATGCATTGGTCCCGGACTCCACCTTCACTGTCTCTCCCACATCCGCGAGAGTCACAGTGTGGAGACGCCCCGGAGAGGCTCGCCACCCGGATCGCTTCGTACTCATGTGGTGCCGTGTATCAGGATGACTGGTCACGGAGTGATTTGATGAACATGAAAGTGAAGTTGGATATCTCCATTGGCTGGCAGAGTCACCAGATCTGAATATTATTCAGCCACTTTGGGGGGTGTTTTGGAGGAACAGTTCAGGAAATGATTTTATCCACTAGCATCATGTAGTGATCTGGTCACTTTTCTGCAAGAAGAATTGCTCAAAATCCATCTGGCCACTGTACAGGACCTGTAGCTGGCATTCCCAAGAATGCATTGGCCTTGTACAGTTAATGAAAGGCTGATGGTGTTTCAGTTTCATTGTCCAGCCCCTGTAAGGTCCCACGTCAGCTATGAAGAAATTAATTAATCTTATAAGCACAAAACAATCGTTATGATACACTACAACGATAAAAACGATTGTGTGCCTGCTTAGATCAATCGTAGGAAAAGTGCTGCTGAGGGGCAAATGTTTATCTTTGTTCATTTCGTATCAATAATGCCACGGGTCGTTTAAAAACTGGTCAAAAATGTGTAGTTTAATCTATAGTGTGATTTTGTTACCAAGTGAACTGTTATGCGACTGACTCACCTAATTTTCTGCCTGCACAACCCGCGCTATGTTTTCTGGCACCGCTGTTGGTCTGTGTGATCCGTTTAATATACCAGTGCATCTTAGTTCTTATCACTTTTGCTAATTTGCATTTTATTATAGGCTACGGGCTCTTTTCTCCGCTTTTTTGTTTTATTTGATGAGTCCTGCTTACATATGTTGCAGAGGTTTTGACAACAGAGAAGACGTTCGCCAAGTCATTCCCACGTACATCCACTAAATGGCGCCCAATCGCCGTTATTTTAGGCGCATGTAAAGAAGGTATATAAACGGCTATGCTTGAAACGATTTCAGACATATGAAAGAAGATGATCTTTCGGTAATAGGCGTTATTTGTGCATAAATAAATTATTTGCATATCACCGTTTCCTGTTTGTAGCGTTATTCATAATGGAAAAAACAGAAATGTCCATTTAATTCTCAAATGCATGACGTTTTTCTTTGAAACACGTATTCCTGGGAAATAAACAGTAAATATGGAACTCTAGGCGATCTAATTAGATAAAATAATACACTTTAAAAAATATATATAGGCTTTATTATAAAACCCATCCTCCTGATAGCGGATTTCTGCACCTTTAGATGCAAACGTTTATTTCATACTGGCAGCGGTATATTGCCTAAGGGCAGGGTTTCGGGACGCTGTTCCGCCGTTCGGCGCCTGCCGGGGACGCAGGGACAGTCCTGGCGGATTACTGACCTGCTCTGACGCGCAGATGCACGGCTAGCGTGAGGAACGGGAGCAGTTTGTCTGGATCCCATCGCTACTGCCGGCGAACCCCTTCCCCCGCCTTGCAAACTGACTGCGAGGAGCAACGGGAAAATAAGATTTAACAAGCACCAGGCATGTCTACTAACGGTATGAGTGACAGTACTTTGCTCGTTTCTCCGTTTCCCCGAATGTGTGTAATATACGCAGTAGATCGGCTACCCAGACGCCCCGGAGTGATGTCTTATCTGTTGTTCTGGCGGGGGGTGAAGGCGTTTATTAGACTTTCCCTCTTTACTTAGATTAAACGATCTGCGTTCCTCGTTAGATATTAAGATGTTCACGCACAAAGGGTATCAGATGAGCTAGGAATGCATCGTTTTATAACTTAATCTACTCGGGAGGGATTGAAATCAGGGAAGGGAACGCGCAGACAGGGACAAAGGCGAGCGTTCCGGGCAGAATTAATGTCCGGTGTAGCAACCTTATACTGAGACAGGCACAGTTTGGAACCGATGTAATGCACAGTGAATAAATTAGTCAAAATACAGGCGTTTTCTGCATGCAGGCAATATATCTTATGGTACAGTGAATGACAATGCATCTGTAACGTCGGTATTTGGCGTTTAGTTCGCCGCACGATATGTAGCTGCAGACACGTTCTTCCGTTAGCAGAACCGACGGACCCAAAACAAAGCATTTACGCAGCCCGGCAGTATCGGAAACGGAGCTTTTGCTCTCTTGTCTGTATTAAGTGCGGCGTAAAGGCAGCGAGGGCGTGGACGGGGAAGCCGGCGTGGTGATAGTCTCTCTGTTTGCTGCTTCTGACCTTCCAGCAAAGTCCGCTTTGTCGCTCGTATTATTCGCTGTTCTTCCTTCCCTGACCGATCGCTCGGTACATTTTTCTTTTGGAAATTCAGTTACTAGTTACACGAATACATCAAAAAAATGAAGCCGCTGTTTCTCGTTTCTAATGCACAAGTACAACCATACGAGACGACCAGCCGATGGGCGCCTCTTTGTGCCGTCAGTGAACCAAGCGGCCGCGTTGTTTACACTTGTGTTTAGAATTTGTACATTTAGTATTCAATAAATATTGATTTACATGAACATTCTTCCGCATACACGTACCGTGATTTATGGGGATAAATAATTATCGTGAAACGATCAAAGAACACTGTTTCTGACGTTTACCCACTAATTATGCATTTATGAAACTTTATTTATTATTGTTGTACAATGAAACATTTAATGTGCATCTTCAATTATTATTGAATAATAATACACGAAGAGGCCGTCTTTTCATTTTTTTTTCATGACCACTTACCCAGTGGAAGGTAGGGGAGATGCCGTAAAGCACAGGGCACCCAGGACGGGACTCTGATCCGGGCTCACAAACACACAGCACTGTCAAATCTGACACCGGAGCCTATATATCCGCTGCTCCTGGCACCGTGGGCGAAAACGTGCACTGTAAAAACAACGGGTTACTTTGCTGGGTTATTTTCAGTGCAGGTATCCAGTCCTGATCCAGCAGCCGGGTTATGTTTTTGACCCAGCACTTGGGTAACTGTACCCCCGTTTGTCGTGCGAACTGCTGGATGATAAGCACCCAAACATCCCTCAAACGGCTGACGTGAAATCGAGCCTTTCATTCATCGTGTTACAATAATATTTACAATAAAACAATATTCTTACCAGCAACAATTGTGATAGATTTAAGTTCAACACTTTCTCTTTGAATTATAATGTTAGACCGTTTGTGGTCAGAGTTAGCTAGTTAAATGTGAACTAAGTGAGGGATCACATACGTATTGTTAGCGGGTAGTTATCGTGGAATGTTATCCTGACAACGAAGTGCATCGATCTTACAGTTTCGCTAGATATTCATGTTCTGAAGCTTAATTCTGTCAACAGCAATATTTACAACATTTATGCTAGTATTTGTCAAGTGATTATATTTAAATATGAGACATATCCATTACAGATGTTTAATAGAAAACATAAATGAGCGATCCTGTACCAATGGTAAATGTGACCCAGAGTAAATTGCATAACCGAAGAGACTGGTTCAAAATAACCCAGCGCGTTTTCCGTCCAGTATGTACCCAGCGCTGGGTTGCCAGTTAATCCAGGTTGGGTTGTTTTTTCCTGGAATCCACTGAATAACCGTGCCACCCCCATAAAGAGACTCATAAAGAAATAGGGTAATCAAATTTTGATGTGGAGTTGATATGAATAGTTGGTCGAATTTAGCTGCACCTAGGTATGTATGTATGTATATGTCTTAATATTTACATATATCAAAATTACTATGCCACCATACTTTACCAATACTTTACAATATGCTAGCATTATACAACCCACCAGAAGTATGTTTTCTGATGTTTATAAGCAGTTATAGTGAGTATTTAAGGCTTCATCTACCCAGATCAATCTCCAGTGAGAATCAAGGTGGAGGAGGAGTATGACCAGATCCTAGTAGAAGACCAGCAGGCTCTGGTCCCAGAGGAGCCATGTGACATCGTGAATGGTCAGGAGCAACCGAGTAGCCCAGATTTCTCCAAACCTTACAGCCTACAGTTGGCCTGTGGTAAGTCTTAACAACTGAAGAAACATCTGAGTATTCCTGAGAGGATCAGACACCTCATTCATCATCAACTTAAGTTCGCTGGGCTGTGTAAAGTTTGTTTTTTTTATATCTCAACAGAGGATACCTCAACCGGCCCACTGTCTGTCACTGAGACTGTGCAAGATGGACAAGAGGTAGAGGAACAGCACTATAGTCCCAGTACCAAGGCATGGAGAAGGTCTGGGACAGACAGCATGGTTGGTCAGTCTTTTGGAAGTTGTGGGACTTTGAGGTTTTCAGGCGAGTGATGATACAGCATTTAGAATATAGTGGCTTTGGCACAGCATTAAAACATAGTGGGTTTAAGCACTGGGGGGGGGGTCTTGCTATTCAGTGGTCTTTGTTTTTTCTCAGGGTTCTGAAGGTCAAGAAGAGTGTCCAGCAGAAGATACGCCAAGTGTTGGGATGGAGTATGATGGCCAGCTGCAGTTTGAGGTGAGTTCAAACCCTGCTAACACCTACAGTCCCTGGCATGAAGGTCACCACTGTTTAGCTTCAGATTAATTCCCTAACAGAAGGTCGAGGTTTGTGCTGCTTGTGATTAGTCGTTCTGTGACGTGTAGCATGCCGCTGGAAGCTCTGAAGATCTGTACAGCATCGACCAGCAAATAACACTCGGAGAGATTCTCACCTACTGCCAGGTGGGTAAATAGCTTCCGTCCAGCTGTGAAGAGTGCTCTCGCTGACGTGTCTCCGGTCTTCTGGCTCAGTCTGCTTCACTTCCCTCTCCCAGGTCATGTATGAGGCGATTCAGAAACTTGATCAAAAGTTTGATCAGCTTCAGGCCAAGGTCACAAGCATACAGACTGTCCATCTCAGTCCTGGACTCTTCTCGCAGGTATAGAACTTTCCAGAGCAACTTGATAGCTGAACTCTATTTATCTATGTCCCCTGTATGCATTGTACCTGCTATCCATGGTAGATATGATGCTTTGTAAACTACAGTAGTTGGGATTACCTTGGACCCATTTTAACCAGTGGGAACACGTAAGAACTACCAATCAATTATTTGTAGTTATACATGATGAACCCTAACCATCAGTTTCAAAGCCTCATTCAACCATCAGTAATTCTTACTGTTATCTACCGATGGACAAAGTGACGCTTCATGAACCATTCGCTGTATTTTTTGACTCCACTAGATGGTGCTCTTGGTTTGTGTCACGTCTAGTGATGTCAGAAAATACAGCAAATGGGTTATGAAGCATCATATTGTCCATCACTACTGTTATCTGATAATAAGCCCAGAAGACCAAAGCAGCAAGCTAAGTGGCAAGGCTTTAGATTCAGTATTTCTCTTTCAGGGAAGTTAACGGTTTAAGCGTGGCTGAAGCTCATTGATACATTACTCCTGTTTCAGAAACCCCAGATACTCTCCAACACCGGAGTACCTGTGCACCAGTTCAGAATGGATGGGTGCACGATAACGGACTCTGGGCTTCCCATGCCCCAGCTGGTCCGGGTAGGCTCCCCTCCGCCCTCCGTCCAGGGCGAGTCTAAGAAACCGCCACCCCTCTCTCCAGCCCCGGGGGTCCCCAGCCCCCCCCGGCTGGCCCCTCAAGCACGCAAAGGCTTGCAGGTTGAAAGCACGGCAGTGGCGGGTCCCAGGGAAGGTCCACCGGCAGCCAACACGGACACCGTGGAGACCCCTAAGAAAGCCTCTACGCCAATGGCAGGCAGTGCCCCAAAGACTGCCCGCAAAAGCCCACCAGGAGCCAACCCTGGGAAACATAAGACAGGTCCCGAGAGCCATTTGTTTATTAGTGCTTCTATGCCTCTAACTTCACATATTTATCCACAATTCAGCCATAAAATGCAGAATAAATGAAGTGTTAGTGCCCAGGTGCTGGTACACAAGGAGAGGATGACAATGTGGGATGCAGAAAATGGAAGCAAAATGGAAGTAAACTCATAAATAGCTCTGGAAAAAATTAAGAGACCGCAGTAGCATTTTTAGTTTCACTTATTTCTCAGTTTATGGGAATGCCTCTGTGTAAAACATATTTTTGTCGCAGCCTGTCTCTTCCCTGTTTCTCATTGATCAAGCAATCCTGGCAGTCCTAACTGTCCTATGAGGCACTGCTGGATAAGTTGACGGTCATCTCTGGCATTAGATAGTTGCTTCTGCCCTCTGCCTGGCTGGTTTTAGGTTATTCCCAGTGTTCCTGCTTCACCTTTTTCTTGTGTCCTGCTGTCTTACAAAGTTTTGAGTCTGGAAGCAGCCTGCCACACAGTGCAGTCTTCTGGCAGCAGATCCAGGATTAAACCAGGATTTAAGAATGCAGATTTTTTAAACCTATAGAGGAGTCTCTTTATTTTATACTCATCTCTGACTCCTCCCCCTTTCCAACAGTGTGGCTGGGGGACCCCAGGAGGAAGGTGCGTATCCCCAGTAGCGTGCTGCAGAAAGCGGGGGGTGCTATGAGCCCGCGGAGCGCCGTGCGCCTCCTTCTGCGAAGCCTCTTCCCTGTGGAGACACTGACTTCCAGCAACATCATGGGCGACTCTGTGAGGGGCCTGAAGAAGCTGGACCCCAACAAGATCGCAGCCATGAGAGGTAGCCGAAGAGAATGACTGCTTGTAATTTGTCCTGAAGTTAATAGGTGTAAATCCCTTCTGCTCTGCCAGTTCTGTAGGTATAGGTACTGGAAACTCTCTGATGTTGTTCAGTCCAGTAGCTCCTCTGTGTCTTTCCCAGAATGGGTCGCAAAGAAATTTCCCACTTTCGATCTGAAAGAGAATGGCAGGGACTGGAAAGCCTGCGTCTCCATCATGAACTCCACTGCCAGATACCTCCGATTTGAGGCCAAAAAGCAGAGGGTGAGCAATGTGGACACCTGGGGGACTCGGGCAGCGGGCAGGGCTGCCGTTGGGGAGCTGAGCTTGGGGCCAACAGGCAGTCAGATCCATTTCCAGAGATGCTCGTGCTGCTTTTACCTCAGAACCAGAACAGCTTCAGTAGAAAAGAAACAGGAAAAGAGAAACATCTGTAGGCTGTGTAAATCTTTAAAAATCTTATTCATGCTTCCTTCTGGCATCAAGAAACCCAAGGTGCAGAGTGACACTGCCAGTGACCCGCTGGCGTCCGCTGATCCTGACCCACCTGCAATGAACCCTGCCGCCGAGATCGACGTGGAGCTGTCCGACGGTGAGGGAGATGGGCCCATTCGCTCCCGCAAGGCCTCAGCCTCAGCCCCCCATCAGAGGGCACCGGAGAGCAGCTCCAAGCCCAGCTTGGAGAGTGGAGAGACCACCAGTGATGACACACTGGGTTAGTCGGCTTAAGTTCCTTGGTAATATTTAACCCATGAATGTTACTGCTAATATTGTTAAAATCCCTCAGCCCATTTTGGTTGTTTAAAATGTGTCTGGATGATTGCTGTGTTCCACTAGTCAGGGATTGTGTGCATAATTCAGTATATATATCACACTTTTCAACCACATTCTTAATTCTCAGACTGCAAATTAAAATAAACATTTACGTCTGTTTGTTGCCAGTCCACACTAATCCAGAGAATTCCCAATCAGGGCTGAGCTTTCATTTTGAAGTAGTCACATAAATATCAAATCCAATTCAGTAGGGGGCGACACTGAGTTCTTTTGTTTTATTGCAGAGTACCTGGGGTCTCCTAGCCGACAGGTGAAGGTGCCACAAGTGGCCATGTCCACAGCACGCCTGCGCAGTCGGCCAGAGCTGGTCGCCCGCTTCCTCATCAAGTACCTGTTCCCAGAGCACGTGCTGATCAGGAGCAACGTTTATGGGAACCGAGAGCATGGCATCCAAGCTCTTGACCGAAATAAGATCAGCGCACTTCGAGGTGAGGGTGATGGCCAGTGCAATGTGGGGGATCTCCCAGTCGTCACTTAAACTGCCTCCCATTATCCAGAACCAGCCTGATTATATTAAAGGGGCTATAGCATGCTTCTCCAGCTTTCCCCTTTCCTTTGTTATGTCATATAAATTATATATGTGCATGTAAACAGTCTGCAAAGTCATAAGGCCCACAGTACACATACAGGGAGTAATGCTGCATTCCATTTGAACTCGTAACTCGCAATTCGGAGTTTCTAGTCGGAAATTTCAAACGGAACGCCCCCCTCAAGTCGGAATTCTCGTCTACACCCCGAGCTCAGAATCAAAGATGGCGGCGTCCTTTATCAACAGATCTTAACGTCTTATTCATGGCTCGTACGCACCCACTATCTGTGGACGTGTTGCTGTGGTGTTTTCATGCACAGAGTACTGAGTGTTGTGTTGTTATCCACTGATATTGCTAAGAATTGCTAACAATTAACCAGGTTAGAACTGGGAACAGTTTCATGAAGCAGGATTTTTAGCTTAAGCGGACGTCTTGTCGGATTTAAGGTAGTCTGGGCTAAATGTAAGTCAATGAAGATAAAGGCCAATTAAACTGGGGTAAATTAAATCTGACAAGTTTTACGGTTACCTTGCTAAATGGCTTTCCAACTTGCTATGCTAGAACACTGTTGACTCGTGTGTGACATCATTCCCAGTCCCGACCTCCGAGCTAAATGGCGTGTGTCTCAAACCGACTCTGACTTACAGAGCACCTGAAGGATCGCTTCCCCTGGATGTTGCTGGAGGAGAACGGACAGGACTGGAAGGTGTGCGTAGGAGCTATCAACAGTACGATCCGCAAATTCCGTCACGACCTGAAAAAGGGCAAGAGCCGCAAGAAAGGCCGATGAGAGCGGACCCAGAGCTGAAGAGGACCCGAGAGAGAAGATGAGGAAGAGAGAAGAGGAGGCGAAGGGCTTCAGAAAGGAGACAGGGAGGCAACAGGGACGTCCTCATAACGTGCACTGTAACCAACCTCTTTGAGTCCATCATTAAGCCATGCCAAGAGCAGCTGGTCCTTTTAACTGGAAGGTTCATTAGCTGTCTAATGCTCTGGGCTCCTCAGTTTCTTTGTTTTTATTGTCGGGCATATTTATGTTGGGATTCAGATTCGGAGCTGCTGATATTTATGCACTTTTGCCAAAGTCATTTTCAAAGTCATTCCTCTGGTGAATTTGACATGTAGCAGCAGTGAGCTTCTTCGTCTTTGGAAAGGACATTTGTTGATGTTTCTTTTATGAACCCAAAAAGGCATATTAATGAGCATTTATTTATTTATTTATGAGAAATTTTAAGGAGATTAATATATTTTCTCAAAATCTACGTGGGTGTTGTGGTATATCGTAGAATGTGTGAATTGACCGTGTATACACATGTCCGGAAGACCAAAGCAAGTTTACATTACAGTTGCAAAGTGTGTATTTTTTTTTTAAGTTTGTATATATGGTCAGAAGACCCACAACTGACTCGTTGAAAATGATTAATTGGAAAAAGGTTCAAGCCGGTAGACCATCGCAACATCCAGATTGCAAGCTGCTGGATCATAAGGGAAAACGCGAATTAAATGTGGTTGCTAATAAGGAACATTTGGAATCATGTCCCAGGAGCACAATTAAATGACCCCACCCCCCGAAAGGACATCGCATGGTTCACCGTCTCTGATTCTAATAATGCACACTGATTATCGTACATTGAAGACAGTAGTATTGGAAGCAAAGTATTGATCTACTTTTCAGATATGATTTCACCAGAGGATAAACGCAGTTGAAATTGAATTTCCTAAGTGCGCAAATTTTGTAAGACTATCTTAGGGCTGCCGCGATTAGTCGATGACATCTGTATTTGAAGTCAACGCATCGTTCTTTTTATTTTAATTAAATTACCATTATGATTTCTAAAACTAATGTTTTCCTTTAATATCTCTGCGTAATTATGGGAGTTCAAATTAGGCCTATCACTAAACTAAAAGGTGGTTTTACACTACAAAGTTCGTTGGTTTACTACACGGACACCAACGCCGGAAGAGAAAACACGCACCGTAAGTTGCGTGTTTGTTAAATTACCATTAGTTCAAAGAGCTTTTTAATATCTTTTGTCTGCCTACTAACTTGAGGTGTTTGAGAAAATGTTTAGGCTAAACTCCGGGCTTATTCTACGTGCATTGACTTTGCCAGTATGTGTTCGTGCGCATTGGGATTTATCATAAACTGGAATGAAAACGGACACTAAATAAAAGAAAAAAATTCGTGAAATAAAAATGAAAACTATATTTACCAAAAAATTTCGGACTTTAATCAGCAAAAAGCAGCGCCACACCACCAACATCATTTTGCCTCGCTTATCCACAATATCTCCTCTTTCAAAAAAATTATGTGGTTGCTGAGCTGTCCCTTTTTTGACTTATAAGTGCTTAGTCCATGATTTACCAAATCTGTTGCACTTGGCGTGCTCCGCTAACCGAATTTAATAAGCATAAGGATACGCCGGATTTATGCAGATTACTAACTTTAATATTTCGGGCATGCTATTAATTTGCTTATCATTTGTCCGCCAAAATAATGTTTATATAGTTCCGAAAAGCCGGCGTCCGTTATCTAAAGCCCTTGCAATAACATACAGATTGTTGTTGTCAAAATAAAATTAACAAATTAAACGGTCTATTTGATTTTCTTGAGTAAAATGAATCGTTTAGATTAATCGACCAATCGGTACAATAGTCGATAGATCAATCCATAGAAAAACAGTCGTTAGTGGCAGCCCTAGTATATCTGCGTGGATGTCGGGCTTACCAGGTCAACAAAATGAAGACAAGTTCCTGCAGCGTCTGAAAAGCATGTTCGTCCAGATGCCCACCTACGACTTGAAACAATCCAGGTAATTACCTTCTTCCTCGAAACATTATGTTTACTTGTACAAAGATTAAAACTTAGAAACAGTACTGTAAATAATGAAAGATTTACTATTCGGATTAAACCGTCAAATGTGATTTCAGTTAAACCACGGCTTCATTACCACCTGCCGTTAGACCCTTCAAAATGATTTCACCGTCACTAGGCGTGAGCTGTTACCATCTGGTAAATTATGTTGGTGACGCCAAGGAAGTGGTTAAATTTGTGTGTTTGCCCCAGTTAAACAGGGATTGGGGATGTCTATTGGATTTTTGACCTTGGGGTTACAGATTTGAGGGGTTGTACCTTTTAGAACCGTCTTTTCTTTTTCTTTTTTTTAGGAGATAAGATCTGTAAATACATAAAATAAATATATACATTTAAAAATACATCTGTGCAATTTGACATATCTCCACTAGATGGTGCAAGAACAAAATTCAAAATTTTCTTAGGCTACACTTTATTATGACTTTCTGCTTAATCTCTGGATAAAAAGTTTCAGTAGTATCTGTATTTATTAGTTCAAGTCTGCATATTAATATAAGTATTGTAGCGAAATTAAACATCAAAAGTAAAGCACACATCTTAATCTGTTGTTTATTTTTAGTGTTTCTGTATTAGCAGCTATTGATCGTGCAATACATAAGATGTACAGAAACTTTACTAGTGTTTCAGAAGGTTGTTATGATGGATATGATTATTCCAGGAATAAATGCTGCAAATGTATAGTATTAAGATTAATGAAGATTGTGAATTTGTGTTTTCCTCCTGCTCTCTGTTCCAGTGGCTCTGCGTTTCAGCGCCCAAAAGCTGCGTCTGTTTCTCCATCTGGCACTTCCCTCCCCCACTACAAGATTGCAACATTGCATCTTCTGCTTGAGCTTTCTGAATGGATGGTTGAAGCCCGTGGGCCTGGTTTGGGGCCGATCTGTGGGTCGCTTATCAGCTTGCCCCAGAATAGCCATCAGATTTACGAGCAGATGTCATAACATGTTGTTCTGTTTTCTGACCATTCTAGGCATGCTTAGATCATGTATATATGTCCCCTGTTTGCTGTTTAATGAGATTTGGCAACCATTTTGCCCATCTTGTTTTTATTAGCTTAAGCAGTGCATGCTAGCCCCTCCCACCAGGACTGAGAAGTCAGTCCTTCACTCTGAATGACGGGGGCAGTAACCTTTTTAGACCTTCAGAGCACCTTGCATCGATCTCCTAGGTAGTAAAGGCTTTAAATCACATGACACAGCCTCAGCGGCTCCTGTGACACTTTTACTGTGTGTTGGAACAGGTCCGAGGCAGGAATACTGTGTCTCTGAGATATTTCCTGTTTGGAGGGATTCAAGTTTTCCATTTGCTTTAAGAGAGTGAGACAGAGGCGCTGGCTTGATGTTTTTCAAACCTCCCACCTGCCTGGATGGTACTGGAGAAACTGCAGAATCCAACGAATGGAGGGACGAATAACAGAGAAAAGCCTGTGGAACACAGCAAACGGGGAGAAGGGTCAACTGTGGATGGAGGTGGGGGGGGGGCGGAAGGGGGAGGACAAGAAGGGGCCCCATCCACAGACCTGCCCCCCCCCCAACCTTATGAGGGGGGAATCAATCAAAGCCACAGCAGGGTGTCCGGTAGCCAACCCCCTTCCTCCACACTGTACAACTTATTTTTCTCCCACCATACCCCTAGTCCTAAGCAGCCCACACCAACCCGTTCTCAAAAATTCCCAGCATTTCTGGGCTGGGGGGGCCAAAAGCAAACATGTTCGAGTGACCCCCCCCTCCCCATGCGCGGTGAGGGTGAGGCTGTTGATCTTGTTGAGCTCCTGCTGTTTAGACAGGGGGCTGTATCCGACCCCGCTCCCCCCTGACATAATATTGACCAGTCTTCTCTTATCACTGAGACACGCCAGAGCTCATTATCTCCTTCACAGCCCACGTTTTGATACAAAACAAATACTTTCTACATTGAGGTCATCCTGTTTCTATTCCGTCACAGCACGGATTTACAGAAATCGACCTTTTACCTGTCAAACAGTCCATAATATTACTGTCGTGGTTTTCTGGGGAATCTAGGTTTCTGGGTCTATTTTGCATTATTAGTTTCTGAAGTAGTAGTAGGAGTTTGTCCTGTTGTCCTTCATAGCCTTGTTTCAAACTAACGGAGTTTTCACTGCACCAAAAAATGTAACTGCGAAAAACAATTTGGAGAAGATCTTGTAATTTTATACAGTCCGTTGTCAATAGCCGCTCAGTCGATCAGGGGGTGTGGTTATCCAGGGGGTGTGTGGTTATACAGGGGGTGTGGTTATACTAGGGGTGTGGTTATACAGAGCCTATTCCTAGAAGAAACAAGAGGAAGAGAGCATCTCGGATGGGATTCCGGAATAACACGTGTGTAGATTCACAGGCACAGTCACACACCAGGACCAGTTCAGGTCCCAGTTCACCTGAAGCACAATATACACCTCAGTGTTTTTCCTCTGAAATTTTTTTACTTCTTCTTTCTGATCATGTCTGTTTTCCCCCGACTTCCACTTATCTTTTTGGGCAGTACACAAATAACCTCAGACCTCTCCATTATCGCGCCTGGCCTATAGCCTCAGACGCTCTCCATTATCGCGCCTGGCCTACAGGCTGCACAGCGGCTTTTTTGTCTGCGGTGCCAGGTTCCTGAAGTAAGTTATCAGCGAGTGTGTGGGTCTGACGCCTGGTGCATGGGGCTCGCACAAAGCGCTCGGCTGTTCCATTGCCATGTGGGGATTTGGGGGGGGGGGCATTGATAATTGATTTTCCCCACCCGGGATTTGGAGACCCGCTTCCACGGCCAGGAGACCATCCTGCTCTGGCGCTCAGGGTTAGAGACTGAGTTGCGGGGGGGGGCGGTCTCTGCCCTACTGGAGGTCTGTGGTGGAACAATGAGCCTTTTTAGATGCAGGGATCAGCACCCACCCTCATGCCGCTGACACATTCTTCACCCTGGTCTGAAACCCTCCCTCCCAAACGGTTTAGGGTTAGATCCGACCCCCCCAGTCCCAACCGTGCAGTAGGGGTCTGGGAGTGTCAGTCTCACCCAGAAACCGTGGAAAAAAAAAATATTCAGATATATATACAGGAAGTGGCAAAGTTATTAAAGAGACTGTCTCATAAACCCAGAGATTCCGCCTTCAGTCTAGAATTAAAATTTACTGACTTTATCCAGTAAAGTGTATAAGTGGATACAACTTAATAAAAACAGACTTAAAGAGTCAAGTATAACTAACACCCATGATTAATTGTTAACGTACCTACTTTAAATGATGTTTCTTTTCCCCCATTTCGACAGCACTCCTGTGAGCAGATGGTATGCTTGATTTGTCAGTTTAATAAATGCCGAAGCATTGTTGACACTGAGCAGATATGGTTCTGCGTTTAAAAAAATAATAATTTGCATTTTCAGTTC